TACCACACCAGCAGTTTTTGGTTTTCTTGAGATAAGGTCTCTGTAGTGTTCTGAAAAGATTTCCCCAGTTATATATGTCATTTGTATACATTTCTCATATAATAGGGGTTTTATTTTCATTTTTATTGATGGTGGCAGTTGTAAGATAGATATTTTCAATTTTTATGAGATCTAGTTTATTTTTTTCTTGTCAATGTAATTTTTATGCTGAAGAGTTTCATCACAAATGTTTCACAGAATCACAAGCACTTATTCCTTTTCTTTCCTAAGAGTTCCATAGTGTTAGTTCTTATATTTAGAAATGCAATGCCAGGCCTGGTGGCACTCGCCTGTAATCCCAGTACTTGAGAGACTAAGGAAGGAGTATTGCTGTAAGTCTGAGGCCAACCTGGGTTACATGAGCAGTTTAAGGCCAGCCTACGCTACAGAGACCTTATCTCAAGAAAACCAAAAACTGCTGGTGTGGTAGCACACACCTGTAATCCCAGCACTTTCTGAAGCTGATGCAGGACTGCAAGTTTGAGTCCAGCCTAGGTAGCTCAGCAGTTTAGTGAGACTGTCTCAAAATGTGAAGTAAGAACGGGGCTGGAGATGTAGCTCAGCGCAAAGGCCTTGGATTTGATCTCTGAAATGTAAGGAAAGACAAAACAAAGCAAACCTGCAGGGCACAGTGGTGCATGACTGTAATTAAGAGGCTGAGGTGGAAGGATCTCTAGTGAAAGGGAAAAGCTGTACAAGAAAAAAAACATTGCTTTTTTTTTTTTTTGCGGTAGCAGGGATTGAACTCAGCACCCTGCACTTGCAAGGCAAGTGCTTCTTCTACTGAGCTATCTCCCTGGCCCTTATAAAGCTATTTTCAAATAAAATGGTCCCTAGTACCACATGCCGCACCAGCCCAACCCCAGGCATGCTGAGCCTGCATCCAAGTCCAAACATGGTGGCACACACCCATAATCTCAACAGTGGGAAAGCTGAAAACAGGAGCATCACTATAAGTCTCAGCTGCATAGTGAGACCCTGTACCAAATACATAAAAGCAAACAAACAAACAAAAAACAAATAAAATAGAATCCTCACATATTGTTGGTGAAATCAAGTGTTTAAGAATATACTTTGGAAGCTGTGCATGATGGGACATGCCTGCAATCCCAGCACTTGGGAGGCTGAGGCAGGATTGGCCTCAGCCTGGGTTATCCAGTGAGTTCAAGGCCTGTCTGTGAAACCCTAACTTAAATAAATAAATAAATTTACTGAGGAGAAAACAGGCTTTGAAATTTATTAAATGGTGCTTGGACATTTGCCTTAGAAAATAAAATGCCACTGAGAAAAAAATTTTTACCAATACCATATACCAGAAGGGGCTCCCAGTTATCATAGACCTAAATATAAAAAATGAAATCATACTAGGCTAAAAGAAAACCTGAGCTAGGGCTGGTGATGGACGCTTGGAATCCTAGCACTCTGGGAGGCTGAAGTAGGAAAATTGCAAGCTCAAGCCCAGCTATGTGAACTGGCAACTTAGTGAGGTTGTCTCAAAATGAAAAAGGGCTAGAGATGTCGCTCAGTAAAAAGGTCCTAGGTTCACTCCCCATGCCCTCCCCACAAAAAAAAGAGAAAAAAATACTACAGAGAAAAGCTAGCAGTGGAAAAAAGCATTACTGTGACTCAGTCTACAAGCAATAAAAACAGTAGAAAATATTAACTGCCTATAATAAACATCACATAAACATCATGAGCTAAGTCAAAAGGTAAGTTATAAACTTAGAAAAAACATTTGCAGACATGACCCTCCAAGATGGCAGTGCTCAGGCCAGAACCTGGAGGAGAACTGAAGGATGCAGGTCCTGGGCCGAGGAGAGGCGGATATGTGCGCGAGGGAATACAGACAGCAATATATACATATGTTCAACCCAGGCCTTCTCTAGGAAATGCAAAATTCAGAACACCAGTGGTCATCAAAGTCCTAGAAAAACACTGTGAGCATCTTGCAGAAAACAAGACAATAACCAGAACAGTACGACTTGCAACATCAAGTTGCAAACTTGATTTTGAGATACTGCTTCAAAGTTAAAAAGGAGGGGCCGGGGAGATTGCTCAATGGAATAAGCGCTTCCCTGGCAAGTGCAAGGGCCTGAGTTTGATCCCTGGTGCTGCCAAAAAAAACTGAATATGATGCTCTGAAGACACATGCATCAGCAGTGGCACTTCCATTTTTGTCTACCACAGTTGCTAACAAGTTCTTTGTAACTGATGCTTTGTATTCAGGTAATATAAGCAAGGAAAACTGTGTTTTTAGAAGTTCACTGGTTGGCCTAGTGTGTGGTATTTTATATCCTAGTGGATTAGCTTTTGCTAAAAATGAC